TAATGCACTATGATTGTTCGCAAAAATAATTAAATAAACGCATTTTTTTAATGGAAATTGTTAAATAAAAAAAAAAACACAAAAGACTGACGGCAAAAAATTAAAAAAAAAAAAACGCGAACTTTAAGCAGCACATTGTTGGCTATAATCAAATATTATTTACTATAAATCTCCATACCTTAAATTATTCTAAAAATTCAGATTAACAAATTCGAAATTTAGACGAAAATTTTTTGAATTTTTTATATGTTGTATACAGTTTGAATTCTTGATTTTCATGATTTTCTCGTTGCTGCGTTTAGTTTCATCACTTCCACTTTGGGTTGAAGGAAACTGAGAATATGCCAATAATACGACAAAATACCGTATAATTAGTTAAATAAAAAGTTCCTTAAAAACAATTTTAATTCTTATTGAAACAACTAAACAAATAAAAAAAAATGAAAAAACTATAGTTTTTATTAAAGGCGTGGGAAATTTTCTTCTAAGATGGCCATGGAAGGCATGGGCAAGTGGATGGTAAATATTTTTTTTCGGCAACCCTGGCCACGGCTGTCTCAAAAATTGTTGACGGGATTAGAGTACCATGTTGTACTAATGTTTTGTCGAAATAAATGAAATAAAATAAAATATTGCATTGTCATGGGGTTCTGAGCTAAGTTTGAAATTTCAACCGTCGTCATCGGGAAGTTGGTTAACAATTTATTGCAAAATCTTACCCAAATAAACATATGTACTTAAATACATACATATAAAGCAAGTTAAATAAAAGCTTGTAATGGAATGTAAAAATGATCTAAACGTAAAATGAATATGCAGCAAAAAATAAAAATGTATGTCTTCCCATACCGGGAATCGAACCCGGGCCTTCTGGGTGAAAGCCAGATATCCTAGCCACTAGACCATATGGGAGGTTGGCAACGCTAATGCTGAATGAGTTCAAAACCAATTGCAACGCAGCCACCTTTTATTTCTACGTATGACTGCTGGCAGAGAACTTAGACAGCAGAACAACAACAAACGTCGAAGTTCTTTTTATAGCAAAGCAGCGCAACGCTTTGTTGGTAAGAGTTGTCTTTTTTTGTTATATTTAAGAAAACAAAGAAAAGTAAAAGCAACGGAAACATACATCGATGTGTGAGTCCATTCAGACATACCTTGTAGTGAAAATCCAACCCAGTCAGTAAAAATACCAGTTCATTAACTAGTTTGAGCTGAAGTGATGGTGACATCTCCCATTGAGTTGTCAAAGGCAAAAATAAGCAGCAATCAATTGCTTTTCTTAGAAAATGTCAGCTTTGGCGTCGAGGGTAAACTACCTACCGATTCTGGTTCTGAGGTCGCAAAACGATATTCTTATTTCTTTTACGGAGGATGAATTGGAAGACTACCCCATCAACAGCTATACGACTAGGATTTCTACTAGTAAATGCTGATGCGTAGCCAGAGAATTGACATCACCAATCGCTTACATTGAAAAAGGATAGAACTTGAACTAGTTAGGCTGACACCCATATTGGTACCATTCTAGTTCACAACTAACAGCGTTCCCTGCTGGGTATATACATATCGTTAGTATAGTATGGAAAGGGCGTATCTCACATCGTTGCTGAAAAGCAAACAAGCCACAACTAACTAAAATTTTTTATTGCATAAAACGATGTGGGGACTTATAATTCGATGAAATGCATTATAATCAATCAAAAGGTGAATTTTGGATTTTTAGTTAGTTACGGCTTTTTGTATTTCAGCGACGATGTGAATTACGCCCTTTCCATACTATACATATGTACTAACGATATGTATGTACATATGTATGTAAGTGCATGTGTTTATACAACCAAGCCTATGTACTTACATATGTACCACGGATGTTACGAACATTTGCATTCGCATTCGTTGTGCGAATGATTTGCATTATTCAACACATTCGCATTCGACATTCGCTTCCGCAGTAAATGATACGAATGTTTTGCGAATGCGAATGTGTACATGTGTAAAGTCTTATAAGCAACATAGAAATAATTTTCGATTCCTCCAGCGTAAGCGAAGGTTCGGATGTAGAATCAGTAGACATTAAAGAATATAAAATTAAAGCTCAATTGAAGGCCTATCTTAAGAAAACCAGCTAGTTCTAGTAATTTACAAAATTTTGAAGTAATAAAAACGATTACTTAAGTCGATTATAGCTTTTTAATATTATTTATTTTCCTAACATTCGCATTCGAATTCGCACATTCGATTCCGAAAATTCGCATTCGCGAATATGAAAAATATGACATTCGAAACATACCTATGTATGTATGTATGTATGTAAGTACATATGTTTGTTTGGGTTAAAATTTGCAAACAATTTTTGACCAACTTCCCGATTACTCAGAACCCGATGAAAATGCAATACGAAAGATGAAATCATCCGCTAGGTGGCATAGGAGTCGAGAAATTTGAAAAAAAACGTATTTATAGAAGGTATATTAATGAAATGGAAAGAAATAACTCCACACACAATTTAGCCGGTAGATCGAAGTATTTTCAAAACCTGCATTTATGGCCTCTTTAAGTTTGTATTTAGGAAGGTTGTTTTTTTTACTCTGAACTTATTTTGTGCCAAATGAATGCAAATTAATAACTTATTTTTTTTTTTTTGTAAGATAAAGTTTTTTGGTTTAGAAGGATGAATAGTTTTTTTAAGTTGAAAAGTTTGCAGGACGAAATTCGAAGATGATGTCGTGCGTATATTAGTCCTCAAATAATAATTTTTTCAACAAAAATATTGCAAATTTTCAAGGATATTTAAGGATATAATTTGTAAAGGACATTTTCCATACCCATTCGTCCTTATGCACCAAAAAATTTACTCCGTTATATTTTTACAGCATTTTTTTTCTTTTATATGATACCCTTATTGTTATTCTACATTGCACTGAATTTTTTAAATAATTATTTGAAATAATCATATCCCTTAAATTTCAAAGTCCTATAAAAAAAGTCCTGACGTCAGAGAGCAAAACTAAGTACGCAGTTTTATTATAATTTACCCACAGTTTCGCGGGCATATTTACTGTTTTTTTGTGTAAAATTTACTGTCGCATGTTTTTTATAGCTTTCCTTCATCTGCTTGACATTCATCATCAATTTAACTTTATTTTATTTTGCTTTAGCATCTATTTACATATGCTAAACTTCTAAAAGTAGTTTAGCTCAACAAAATTTTATTGTAGTTTCCAAAGAAAAAAATGCGGATAATTTTCAGAGAAAATAGCTTACGCAATTTTTAATTCCAATGTACAGAATTAAAGCCATAAAATTAACCATTTACTATTAATTGCCAAATAGTTGTTAAACATTTTTCGCTTTAAAATATTTAATCAAACGAATTGCATTTTTTTTAAGTCATGTTAAAGTATTTAAAAAAGAATTCGTTTGGCCACTCAACCACATCGAAACAGCTTTATGTGGCAGCGGCGTGCTGTTAACTACATTGTGTGTATGTATGTATGTGTCGTGTCCAAAAATACATAACTTGAGCAAGTAAATTGGACTCTTGGCCAGAACACAAGTGGCTTTAAGCGAAGGTGTGGCCATAATTGTTAGTTTGCACGTTCCTTAGCGCGCAGTGACCGTGATATCCAATTTCGGTGCGGCGAGGTGTCGTACAATTATTGCAAAGGCATTAATTACCGCAGGTACAGATTTTTCTTGTAGAGTACATATTGACAAAAAAATAATAATATTGAATTATCTAATAAATAGTGTAAAGAATGCTTATCAGCTGCGTAAAAAATGCCAATTGGCATATTTCTTAAATTCATACGAAAGAATTTTGATATAAGTTTGCAAAATGAAAGTAATCAAATAACTCAAATATCTGATCTGCAGTTTCACCACTCAATTTTAAAATTGATAAAACTGTTAAAATTTTGAATAACAAATTTTCCGCACAAAAGTGTGTAATTTTAAATTTTAGCAGGCTAATAAAATTAAAATTGATTGGCGCAACCGGACATGTGTGTAATATTCTAAAACGAAAACCTATTTTCTTGTGAAATCATAATCACAAAGTAGGGACATGAATACTTACATATGTGTACATATATGCATATATAATATATATATATATATATATATCAACAAAATATACTATATACTATATTTAGTTAGAACCGAGTATGCAGTTCATCATCAGTACCTCAAAAAATAAAAACCAAAAACGATTTTTTTTCTCTTAACAGCGGTCGTCCCTCGGCAGGCAATGGCAAACCTCCGAGTGTATTTCAGCCCCGAAAAACAGCTTTTCATAAAAATTCAATCGCCGTTCGGAGTCGACGTAAAACCGTAGGTCCCTCCCCTTTGTGTGACAACATCAAGGCGCCCCCCACAAATCGGAGGAGAAGCTCGGCCAAACACTAGCGTATGTGTAAGCGCCAATCTATTATTATTATTAATTAATTTCTCAGCAACTATTAGGCCTATCGAAAAGTGATGTATACACGGTTTATGGAGAATTGTATTAGCTTTCGTTTTCCATATTTAGAAGGTCGTTCAATTGTTGCATAAGATATACGATATTAAGTGGAACCACTTTTTTTTAGTTGAATAACAGTAAATTGCAAATATCTGGTAAACTTATCCATAGAAAAACATTTAACTCGATTTTCGAATTCAGCGGGCAATTCTATAAAAAAAAATTATAATGGCATTCATGCAGCATTTTTGCTGTAAACCAGTCTTAATAACAAATAAGAACAATTAAATTTTTTTAAATTTCAAATGCATGCAAGTAACTCCCTCAAGTGCACAAGGTATTTATTTAGAAAAGAAGACACATCTTTCTGATATCGCACAATAAACAATTTCCAGACTCATGAATCCTTAAGGATCAACAAGGAAAATACAAATTACATTTTAAGCATTTATGTATACTTTTTATTATGGTTCGGATCGTATATAATTACTGATATAATCATATATGTATACATTTACATATATGGAGTTACATATTACAGGTAAAAAAAGAAAGGTGCAAATGGCGATCCTTTAGATTTTCGAGCAGAGCTGCGCGCAGTGTGAGATGCTGGAGCTTTTTCGAAGGCAACGTAGCATGTTGGATCTCTTGCAAGAGCTGCATAGGGTCCTCGGGAAGAGCCAGAGGCAGCGTAGGGTGATGGAGCAGGTTCTGGTGCTGCATAAGATTCATGGGCGGAGCTAGAGGCTAAGTACGATGATGGAGCATGGGGTCCGTGGGAAGAGCCAGAGGCAGCGTAGGGTGACGGAGCAGGTGCTGGTGCTGCATAAGATTCATGGGCGGAGCTAGAGGCTACGTACGATGATGGTGCAGGTGCTGGTGCTGCATGGGGTCCGTGGGAAGAGCCAGAGGCAGCGTAGGGTGACGGAGCAGGTGCTGGTGCTGCATAAGATTCATGGGCGGAGCTAGAGGCTACGTACGATGATGGAGCAGGTGCTGGTACTGCATGGGCTCCGTGGGAAGAGCCAGAGGCAGCGTAGGGTGACGGAGCAGGTGCTGGTGCTGCATAAGATTCATGGGCGGAGCTTGAAGGTAAGTACGATGATGGAGCATGGTGTCCGTGGGAAGAGCCAGAGACAGCATAAGATGACGGAGGAGGTACTGGTGCTGCATGGGGTCCGTGCGAAGAGCCAGAGGCGGCGTAGGGTGACGGAGCAGGTTCTGGTGCTGCATAAGATTCATGGGCGGGGATAGAGGCTAAGTACGATGATGGAGCAGGTGCTGGTGCTGGTTCTTCATAATGTGCTCTGGCAGAGTTCGAGACTATGAGAGATGTTGGAGCCGGTGCTGGCGCGGCATAGGGTCCCTGGGAAGAGCCAGAGGAAGTGTAAGATGATGGAGCAGGTGCTGGTTCTTCATAATGTGCTCTGGCAGAGTTTGAGCCTATGTAAAATGTTGCAGTTGGCTCTGGCGCTGCATAAGATCCTTGGGAGCCAGCGTAAGAAGATGGAGCAGGTGCTGGTGCTGGTTCTTCATAATGTGCTCTGGCAGCGATCGAGTCTACGTAAAATGTTGGAGCAGGTGCTGGAGCTGCATAAGATCCTGGGGATGGATACCGAAAGGACGCAGCATTGTGTACAGCTGAATTGGAAGAGACGATTAAGGCTCCAATTAAAAATATGAAAAACATTTTTAGCAGACGTAAATTGCAGATCAAGCAAATGAAGTGAATTTACTCAGTCGTAGAACTTTTGTACTGAATTGTCGGCTGTTGTAGGCTTTTTATACATACCTTACTGCTAGGCCAATTAATTAATATTTAGATAACTTTTTACTGAAGAAAAATGTTTAGTAATTATAATTATAATAGATAATTGTATGGGCCTCTGAAGCGCGATATGTCTAAACTTGCGGGCATAGGGCCAATGTATGTAGGTGAAGTGTATTTCGCTGTAACTCACGTGGGGTATTTATCTCGCACTGGCCTTAACTACACGTACATATGTATGTATGTACGTGCTTCTGAGCTTTTAATAAAAAAAAAATATATATTTTATCAACGATTTACGACTTCTTCAGAGTTTAATTTACAAAATAAATTTAATTATTGTCAAACAAATTTAAACCAATTTTGGATTTTCTTGGAAACGTTAAATTTTATTAGGGTTTCTCTCCCTCTGAAAAGGATACGTCGGAAGTCACGTAGGAATAGCTTTTTTGTTTTTCGAATAATCATTATTCTTAAGTGAAAAATAAGACTCAATAATATGTATTTATTTATCTTATCTTATTACATTAAACGACCAATTCTTGTACAGCCAATTCTTGTACCAAAATATATATTTATCTACAGGTTCTTCGGAAACGGCTCCACTAATTTTGATAAAATTTAGTACACATGTAATATTTTTCATTATAAGGTTATCTAAATAGGTATTGTCACCGAGAAGACTCGTTTAAGGTTGCCACCTATTTGAAATTATTTCCAAATTAATTAACACATCATAATATGGGTATCAAATGGAAGCTATTTTAAAACTCCATAATTCAGAAATATTTTTTATAGGGTTGCCACATATTTTTAGTCGCACATTTATTTAATTTTTGTTTAGAAAATAAAGGATACTGTACCTTTATAGATACTAAAAGAAATAATGCTTTGCATATATACTAAGTACTAGGGTTCTTGTGGCATTTACATAGGTATGTACATATAGTTCGTTCTGTTTTCAAAAGTGAGGTGTCAAATGACAGGGCTTGGCCTGTATATGTGCCATTAAGTTTTATTTTTTTTTTAACGGGTTGCCACCTCTTACAAATTTGATTAAAATTATTTAATAAATTAAATGAATTAGATATTCCAATTCCATTTGAATTAAAGGAATTAGGTTATTGAAATAGAAGGTATCACCACATGGAAGTCAGACGAAAGAGGTTTAAGTAGGTTTTAGCTTGCAAATATTACGAAGAGGGTTGCCACCTATTTGTAAACTCAAATTTGGTTGAACCGAAATAATAATTGTGTCAAACCAAAGGTTTATGACATCGTATTTGTTATTTTATTACAAATACATATATTGTCAAACAGTGATTTGTGCTGATTACATTCCTTTTAAATTACTGGACTCTTAAATTAACTCAGGAATGTTTTTACACTTCACTAATTTCTTGCTAAATATGTCCAATTTTTTCTTTTGTATGATACCCATATTGATATACATACATATTTCAATTACCTTATTCCCTTAATTAAAGTGAATTTGATTTTTTGAACATGTGGTAACCTTTCTACCTTTCGTTTAGAAGTAAAGCACTTTCAAAGCCATTTCTATTGATATCCATATTTTATTTTGTAAACAGGTGGTAACCCTCTACACATAGGTATGAAATAAAATCTTTTCGTACACATTTCGGTTGATACCCATCTCTTAATATAATAATAATAACATACATTAGCAAAAAACGCATTACTTCAAAAAGTGCAAAAAATAGCAGGTTTTTATTTCTTTTTTCGAAAACTTAAAACCCGTACTATTTCATAAAATAATTAAAAAATAATATATATTTTTTATTCATTCCATTAAAATTTACCATTTTTAGTAATTTTGATTAAAAAAAATTGTTTTGTTGGAATACCGCAGGGACACCCTGTATTTAACTTGTATTCTGGAAGATCCCTACTATCTATATGGAAATAAAAAACGTCAAACCAACATGTTATTTCAAATAATGTATTTTTGACATTTGTTTCCGTGAACACCTTACGCATGGTTATGCTCTTACTAAAATTCTTAGTATAAAATTTCCTGGCGGCATATAATTTATTTTATAAGGAAATTTCTGTTTAATTCTCCTCAGTGGATAAATTACCTTTAAAAAAATAAAAAACATGTGCACATTGCAGACAACGAATTTTTCGACTTTTGCCCACTTAAGCGGCACTGTGGCAGCGGTTGAAATTCAACCTCTAAAATTAAGGGGCGTTGAGGTGGACTGAGCTGAGCCGAGTTTAGTTAGTTGAAGTCAATTAAGCTGGAATACCTTGAACAACATAACAGAATTTTACATAACATAACATAACACAACACAACAAAGCATCATAACGCATTACAAAACATCATAACACATTACAAAACAATACAACAAATTACAATACAACACAACACAACACAACGCAACACAACACAACACAACACAACACAACACAACACAACACAACACATTACAAAACAATGCAACACAACACAACACATTAAAATAATACAACAAAATCCAATACAAA